CACAACTATTGCGTCCTGGAATATTCACGGCGATATAGAAATATATATAGTTTAACGTCTTAGTTTTGTACGATGATCTAGCATGCATACATATACAAAGAGAGGGTATATCATTCATAAGAGATACCAAGATTTTTGTGGAAAATCCTGAAAAGGGAAAAAACCACGGTGCCTGGCCTAGTTTGAATGAATCCACTATTATTTTCAGTCAAGTACAAATTAGGACTTTCCTTAGGAAAAGGCCTTAGCTTGATGTAACAAATAAACATCATATAGCATGTGTTACATGACGGAACTTGAAAGTATCACTATTGATACATCCGTTTGGTCAGTATGACCATAGTCGGCGGGCAACGGAGCTCAGGAAGACTATAGTCTGGTGATGGAGGTCAGAAGAATTATAGTCGCTGGGCAACAGCGGCCAGAAAGATCGTTTTCTGGCAACGGATACCGAAAGGATCATATTTTGCAGGTGATAGTAGTCAGAAAGACTATTGTCTGGTGAAGGAGATCAGAAGGACCATAGTCGGTTAGTGACATACGTTAGAAGTTTGGAGATGCGTGAAGGTTTGGAGTAGGGTAGAAGTCTGACGAAAGTTCGGCGATGGAAAGAAGTTCGGCGACGAGTGGAAGTCTAGCGTCGGGTAGAAATCTGGTGACGAGCGAAAGTTTGGCGTCAGGTAGAAGTCCGACGAAAGTCTGATGACGGGCGAAAGTATGGCGTCAGGAATAAATCCTGTGGCAGGCATAAGTTTGGCATTGGGTAGAAGTCCGACAAAAGTCGAACTACTAACATAATCCGGTGATAGGAAAAAGCCTGGCGATGGGTGGATGTTTAGGGTCGGGTAGAAGTCTGACGAAAGTCCGACGTCTGGTAGAATTTCGACGATGGATGAAACATCGGCGTCGGACAGAAGTCCGATGAAAATCAGCTGATGGGTAAATCTCCTACGTCAGTTGGTTGTTGGGCAGAACCCTGGCGTGCGTCAGATGTTAGGCAGAGCTTCGGCGTTAGTTGGCATTTAAGTAGAACTTTGGCATCAGTTGGTGGTTGGGTTGGACTCCGGTGTCCGTCGGCTATCAGGCATAACACCGACTTCAGTCAGCGGTCGGGCAGAACTTCGGCTTTTGTTGGCATTTGGGAAGAACTCCGTCATCAGAATGCTGTCGGGTGGATTTCTTGCGGTGGTCGAGGAAGAGTTTGGTGGCAAGAGAGCTCTCTTCCTCTTCTTCCTTCTCTTCTTGGTGAGAGATCAAGGATAAATTAGGAGTGGATTGAATGGATAACCGATGTTGAATCCCTTGATCATGAAACATTTATTGTACATTTGAATGTCTTAATGATTTCAGAATTTGGCAATCTTAGGCTTGTTGGATTCACCTCATTGAGCTACTCGATTCAACTGTAAGCACGCCACATTTGGAAACTATTTGTTAATCCAAATTATGGATTGATCCTTCCAAATGCGCTTAGAGTCTTTTTTTTGGACCCATTTGAGCTTGAATTGTGTCAAATTTGGTGTCGTTGGGTTCGTATTATCAAGACGTTCAATTCAACTGTAAGTTTGCGGAAATCGTAGTACATATGGTCTCCGATTTAACTTTGAAGTTTCCGATTATAATTGGCCTCGAGATTCATGCCGATCAAAATAATTTTTTGATGTTATATCAACAACTTACAAAGAAAAGGTTGATATAAAATAATTGAACCAAAATTTTTATAGGCACTGCAATGCAGAAAGACAATGGATTAGACACCATGTAGTTCCAACAATCAATATGCTCAATGAGGCCCTCATATAGAACGCCACAACAAAGGCCTAACCTTCTTTTTTTTTTCTTTTTTTTTTTTTCTGCTCACTACCATATTATGGAGTAGGCAAAGTATGAACTCATTAATGCAAAGACCTTGAATTGCCCAAAAAATAGAATATCTTCATTAATTCATAAATCCGCATACGACTGTAAATTTAAAAGGGTGAACACCAACAAAAAAAAAATGGAAGGTTCAACTTATTTGAGTTTCCCACTTATAAACGTAGCTCACCTTTTGCATAGAAAAAATTCTTAGGTCATTCTAGATAGGAAAAAGAAAATTATAAAAATAAGTATAACTCAATTTGAAGTTTTAACTTTCAAATCTCAAAAAAATGAAGTTAAACATTATAGAAATAACCTTGAATGGAGCTAGGCGATAGAGAGGCTGAGAGAGCTTTTTTGTAGAGAAAAAATCGTCATTTGGGAGGAGAAGAGCTCGGGATGATGATATAGGGCCATTTTTAGCAGGATTTTCGACGAACTTTTCTGTCTGAAATAAAACAACAATTATAGAAAAAAAACTATTGAAATATTTTCCGAGATGCTTAATTACCGGCAGAATTTTGGCATAAAATTCATCCTGAATTACCGACAGAATTTTCGTCGGTAATTTCTGATAGGATTTCAGTAGTAATTTAGGAGGACTTTTTTGCTAAAAATTTTGTTATTAAAGCATATATTTCTTTCTTGTATTGCATCTTGTCTTCAAAAAATAAAAAATAATAATAAATGCATATGGAATAAATAATAACCTTCTTCAAGCTTTCATTAATCTAAAGATACAAAATAATAGTTCAAAATATAATGAATTCAATAAAATTTTTAAATGAATCCTTAACTATCAAAATAAAGGATACCTTACAGACTCAGAATCCATGCTCATTCTCAGAACCAACCTATATATTCAATAGGGCCATTTTTTCTTTGCTTGAAATATTTTAAATCATAGTATAAGTTCAGAACTTAGTAGGCCAACCTTTCTCCATAATAGGATTCAACTGACAACCGATAATTGAAAATATGAATGATAATAGAAAGTTTATCTTTTTCAAGTATTATAAATGACTAAATTATATGATAACGTGAATGCAAAAATGCTCTTGTATCCATCCCCATTTAGCTTCCATTTACCACCTTTCACCTACTGAAACAGGTGCAGAGCAGAGTGTTCCCGTTGCAGAGTCAATTTAAATGTCAAAATACAACATAGTAGTATAAAATATATATGTATTGAGCCCAAAGACAGAATTTACAATACACTTTCATTTTTATAATAGAGCTGTAGAATGCGATGAAATGCATAATGATGCACTTACAATGTAAAACTAATGAATTTAATAGAATGCATGGAACTCATCTAGTTTTAAAAAATCCTCCAAATTTCGGTTACCACCATAATATTATTAAATTCACCATGACTATATAAAAAGCCGATTCATTATATGTTATCTAGTAATCAGTAAAATTTCATTTTCTTAAAGTCCACATGTCCAAAATAGTATGCATAATAATATACAAAAAAGTTACACGATGAAACTTTCTCCAAACTTAATAAAAATACCTTTTCAAACATATATTTTTATAAAAATACTAGAATTGAAATTATAAACCATTAACTTGACCTTGTTCCACATCTCTCAGCTTCCTAGCCTCATTGCACTCTCAAAGAATCTTTCACAAAATTCGAAAATTAATGGGATGGCTTCAAAAATATGGTTATCTGTTGATATAATAATTTCTCTACCATAAAAATTGGGTTGTCTTATCATGAAACTTAGACTCACTAGGAGTCTTAAAGCTTGGAAAAGACAATACACCACATTATCAATCAAGAGGAGAAAACCTTTATGAACAATAAACTTAATGATATCGAAATGAAAGCTAAAACAATTTTAGTACAATCTCTTGATTTGAAGAATATGAAAATGGTAAAACATTGCTCTAAAACAAGCTCAAGGAAGAAGAAATATATTGGCATCAAAGATATAAAATAAAAAAAATATCTTAAAATCATCAATGGTAGAAAGAGATTTAATTCAATAAACTCATGTTGGTGGAAATTTTATAAATAATTAAATGGACTTGCTTTACGTTTTTCATCTTCACTTCCAACACCTATTTGTCAGAAACTCTCGATCTTATTATTAATTTTTTTATAAGGTCTCTTCTACTAACGAACCTGCTATTCAAGAAATTATGGATTCTCCTTTTGTTCTGGAAGGGAACAAAGCTGCAACATGTGCTTTGGGTGCTGACAAATCTTCTCATCCTGATTATTTTTCTATCAAATTCTTTCAGGGGATGTGGGATATTATTAAAAAATGATTTCCTGAAGATTTTTGTAGGATATTGTTACGCATAACATTGCTGGGACCGGTCCGGTTCTACACCCGGCGGTCCAGAGCCGGGCGGAACCCGCTGATCACAGAAACGACGGACGAAGGAGCGGGCTAGGCGGCTTTTGAGCGTTTCGTTGGAGGGGATTTTTGAATGAAAAGGGTGTTTATGTAATTTGAATCTTTCCTTTTGCTTTAATCAGAGAGTTATGAGAGAATTAGGGATTATCTTGAATTTGAGTTTTCTCTTTGAGATCTAGGCTTTGTTTTGGGCTCTTGGCTTCGCCGGAGACTTTGGAGAGTACGTTCTTCCTCTCGAATTGAAGAACAAATTGTATCTTTTCAATTTTATTCGTCTACTAATAAAATACTAGCCTTTGCTTGCGTTGGATCTCAGTTTTCTCGCGTTTCCTCACTGTTTTCCTGTGTAAGCTGCTGTCCACTGCTGGAGACAGCAGTTTTTTTCCTGGTTCCGCCTCATTTTTGGCTAGGAATTACTTGATTTCAAGTATTTCCTATCAGATATCTTCTCGGGTAAGGGCTCTTTAGAAAATTTAAGTAGTACAATCATTTGTCTTATTCTTAGAAGAGATGTTTGTGAGAATTCAAAAGACTTCAAACTGTTCAATTGAATATTGTCCCATCAAGCAAAACAAAAGATAAACTGGCTGGCATAAATGGCTTCATATTCATGATAACTAATAGCAATACATTGTCGTGAGCTGCACTCTAATAACTTGATAAGTAATTTTACACATGTAAATAAAATCACAGAGAAAAAAATAGCGCCATTTTCAGTATGAGAAAAAAATAATGTCTTCTTCAGTAATAGCATAAGAGTCATATATTTAAACTTCTGCGTTATTACAGTCAGGAAATATTTTAACTGCAGTCTATACCGTATGAAAGCGAACTTACAGTAACATTAGCATGTGATTCCGTCGTAGCACTCCCCACATCAACAATATGAACGGTAGCTGACATGCTAGCATAAGCCTGCAATAGAGAAGCCATGTTTTGTTACTAATTCATATGAAAAGCGTTTCTTCGACATATTTAAATAAAGCGCAACGTCCTCAAAAATAGAACAAATATATTAAATAGATGGAGAATAAAGGGCAAAAATTTCTGCATGCCTACCCCATAACAAAACAACTGGTCCAAAAAAGCTAATACGTGCAATAATGAAAATTTAGGATGGGAAATCCTGAAAAATAATTTGAACTGCAAGCAGCATTAACGCTTATCGAGAGAATGTACAGTGCCACCATGGATAGAAAAAGAGAACAAATAAATATGATTATTCTAATACACGCATTTCTTCTGGCAAGGCACATTAACCCCTCAGCTATTGACATGGAATGATACTGACCATAACACAATCTCACCTAAGGGTTGACGTTGACTCAAGGATGAGCAAGCCAAACTGCACTAGAACTAAAATTATCAAGCTTTCCTTAACTCAAACTAGATACTATTTTGTGTTAGCACAGAGGTTGACAGTATTTGACCAAAATTAGGAAGTTTCTTGTGTGACGAGTTAGTATGACTTCCCATTTTAAAGAGGGGAAGATTACCTTGCCTCTCCGGGATCCCATAATCTTTTTTCCTTCTACATATCAGACCGAACAAGAAGACCAAATATGTTGGGCTGTTGAAGTTTCGAATATGGAAAACTAATGAGAAAATAATTGTAGAGGATAGGAATGATCAAGAGCAAAGAAGACAATTTAACCCGAACTCTCACCTCAAGGCAATGTGCTACTTAATCTCTTTCTTTAGGTCTTCTCTATGATCTCGATAAAGAATTCTTGTGTAGAAAATACAAGATATTTATAGAACTAATATTGGAATTGTCTAATCCAACAATAAATATTTTGATGAAATCAAGGACATTGGTTAGAAGTCCGGTTTTTTTGTTTTTATAATTGGGGCACTTAACACCTTCTTCATGCTCATGGGTAAGATTCTTACTAACTAATTTGCAATATGTGACCTCAATTGCCAAAAAAAAAAAAGTGCGCAACTACTCGGATTATGATCCATTTTGGCCAACTTTGTCATTTATCTCACTCAGCACTTGACCGACTAGATCCCATGCAATAAAAAAAAATCCTTCATGCATCTAACTTCCCATTAATCTTTGTTTAGCAGTGCCTCATTTCTAACTTGAAAATATTGGCTTCTATTTACCTTTCAATTCATAGACAATTAGATTTTATTTTTGCTATAGCTTACAAGATTGTTGTTAGCATTATTGAACATCTCGGGGAGAAGCAAATGACAAATATAAGTGACTAAGTTGAAAATAACATCTATTTGGATATAATTTCTCTAAATCAATAAATATCATATGTAGATCCTCTGGGATCATGGGATCAAAGTAATCAGAAAGTTTTTTAATAAATCAATGATGCTCTATGGCTCAAATTCAATGTTCTAATCCAAACGTAGCTACAGATGTCTCTTGCAACTCCTCACGTTAATCAGGATTTTACTTGTTCTTAAAGAAAGAGCCGTGCAAAAAAATATTATACTTGCATAGTTCAATGCAGAAATTTCCAATTTTGAAGCAGCTACACAAAGATAACTACATGGAATTGAAAAAAAATATTTGGCAATTAAAAATTCTCTCAATGCTTTACTGGATTAATCCATTGTTTTATTACATGCATTGTAGATTAAAGAAGCATACAAAAGAAAAATACCAAAAAATAAAAGCAAAATCACATTTCTAAAAGCATATGTTATTAACTATTGAATAGTTAAATTCTGTTTATTAAAGGCTTATACATCCCCTATCGTTGAAAGCAAAAAGGCAACCAATGACAAAATTTGGATAAATATTGTGCTCCAAAGCTTTCTAGTACCGAACCATCAATCTATTAAAAATTAGCAAAGGGATCGACTGCGTGATCGATGCGATCCACGCTTATTGCTCTGGGTATCTGTGGGCTCCGAAAATTCGGCCCCGGCCTCCCCGCCGCGCTTTTTTTTTTTTCGGCCAGGGGTTTTAACTGATATAAGTTCCAGGGTAAATTTTGGAAGGCAGATGGGTTTGTAGATAAGACACTACCCAGAGATTTCGCCCTTATTTTGTGAGGACTTTATGATCTGAGTTCTGGTTTCCTATAGGCGCAAGCCCCTATAGTTAATTACCCCTCCCGATCACGAGAGAGAACTTTCGATTAAGGCTAGTCGTCAATCAGATACGTAAAGATACGTGGTATCTGGCATATAGTAGCAACAA